AATAAAAATTTTTTTTGATAATTTTTTATATTATGTGACTTTTAAAGTAAAAAATTTTTTTTTAAACATTTTTTATATTATGTGATTTTTAAGATAAAAATTTTTTTTTGACCCATCATCACTCACCACCACCACCGGTCACGTAAGGCAGCACAAAATCAAAATCAAAGCCCGCGTATACGTCACTCCAGTTACTCGTCGGAAATATGATGGCGGACACAGTTCAACGTGCACATTTCGTGCACATAAGGCGCCACTAAACGGGTTTCATTCGAACCACGAATACGTTTACTCTCAGGCTTCTCGCTGCTATTACCTGGCAAACCTAACCTTGAAAATTCTCTAGAATCAATGAGTAAGTGAGAGATTCAGATTATGTCGATCCGATACCGAACGCTTTGACGTTTCGATCGACGCGATTGGAACATGGGTTTATTTGGAAAATCGCAGGAAAAAAATCCTAAGGAAATGGTTAGTTGCTTTAAAATATACTCTTTTTTTATTCTCATTTGTTAACATCAATATTATATAGGTCGGAAGGGCTCACAAGTTGAGGAAGGAAGGCTATCAGCTCGATAGACAGGTTAGAGGTAAGATACGTAGAAAATTTTTTTGGAAAATAATCTTTAGAATCGAAAAATGTAATCGTAGTTAATCAGCAAAAATTTTAATCTAAAATCTGAATTATGAAATTTTAGTTTTAAGAAACTCCAAATATTGAATTAGTACATTAGACACAAAAATGTTGAAATCTTAATTTTTTCTGAATAAAATCTAGGAAAAATATTATTTTAGAAAGGTTTTTAACATTTTCTTAGACCGTTTAAAATTTTTTAAATTAATCTCTTTACGTGATTTTTTTATTGATTCTAGATATTCATACTTATAATCGATGTTTTTTTTATATGTAGCAATTCAGCGAGAGGAAGAAAAAGTTAAACGTTCCTTAAAGGAAGCAGCAAAGAAAGGAGATAAAGATGTGTGTAAAATCCTTGCAAAAGAGATTATAAGAGCTCGTAAATCTTGCAATAAGATTTATACTTCCAAGGCACATTTAAATTCTGTGTCATTGCAAATGAAAAATCAGTTGGCAACAATCAGAGTTGCTGGGTCAGTCTCTAAATCCACAGAAGTGATGCAAGCAATGCAATCATTAATAAGAGTACCAGAAGTGGCCGCAACTATGAGAGAAATGTCAAAAGAAATGATGAAGGCAGGTATTATTGAGGAAATGTTGGACGAAACGATGGATTCTATTGAGGATTCTGAGGATATGGAGGATGAAGCTGATGAAGAAGTTGATAAGGTAGATAATTACTAATATCGTAATAGAATGAAATTATTTCTATTTTAATGCATATTTTATGAATTAGAGATTAAAAAGATTTTAATGAACAATTTTTAAGAACTTTATTAAAATTAACATATAAATAATCACATTTTTATATAAAAACTATAAGATAAAATTCTTTTATATTTTCTTTCAGATTTTATGGGAAGTTACAGCTGGCCAATTGGGTACAGCTCCTGCAGTTGTTACAGAGAATCCTGGAATTCCTTCTACCTCTGCGGAAGAGGAAACAGAAGATGATGACAAAGAACTTGAAGAGATGAAAAACCGATTGCAAAGTCTTCGTAGTTAGATAAATAATTAAATAATCGAAAGATATTTGTATTATACAAATTTCAGGGAAATAAGTAATAAGTCTTAATAATAACTTTATTAAATAAATAACACGAGTTGTAAGTAGTAGCACTTGCTTATTTATCGTAATGTTATTTTGCTATTTAATGTAAATATTGTATTATCACAATGTAGATACTACTTCGCTTTGTAGAGCATTATAATCATTGTATATCTATTTTTCATTATTCGATAATACTTTTCTTTATTCCTACAATTATAAATTATTATGAAAAAAAATTATATAAATTAAATTAAGACTAAAAAGAAGTAAAAACTATATAATAAAATTATAAACAAAATTTTACAGTAAAAGTAAAGAAAAATTACATGATCGAAATTAAGCTTTTAGATAATCTTTAACTTTTGTCATCTTTTTGTTTTATCATATATTTACAAATTTATTTACAAATGTAATAGCAAAACTTGAGTTTGGCATTTAAATCTTTTTTTGTTAGTTTGTAATTTATTTTAATATGTAGCCATTTGCTTATAAATTTTCAAGTTATTTATGAGTTCAAAGTGCAAGAAAGTATATAATTGCAACAAAATAAACTATACAGCATGGTATTGATGATTATTGATTATTGTTGATTATTTAAAATACAGTGTTGAAATTTCAACTTTATGAGATGAATATTTTATGTTGTAAATAATATTGTTAACAAATTGTTATATAATAATAGTATTATTATCGCAAAGTATTAATATTCTTGGTGTGTTTATCTAAAGGACACTGATTGAGTGGCCTTTATTTAATAATGCTTCATGGAAAAAAATTAGGTCTTTTCGATTTATTTTTTATTAATAAATAAAACTGTAATTAGTGGATGCAAACTACTTAATAAACCTAATAAAAATTAAAGTTGTCAATGTATAAAATTTACCTTTTTCACTTAACATAAATTTTATTTATAATGACATTGTTACAATTATTAACGCCTTATATAAATACATAGTAAAAATAATATTACACACATTTCAACTATGAACATGTGTATACGTGCGTGTGTGAAATTATACAAATACTTGGTCTAGAGCATATATTGTATAATAATCATTAAATATATTATTTTTAAAGAATATTTCTCCCTTTTAACACGCAATACATTGCTATAAAAATTGTTTGTAAAAGAAGAAAGACGATGATATATTCTCTCTCCCCCTCCCTCTTTCTCCCTCCCTCAAGCCACATACACACACACGCACACGCACGCACGCACGCACACACACATTAATGTAGAATACGTAGCTAATTAATCACGCGTTTTTTATGCACTAATCTTATTAATCTATCCGTAAATAAATTGCTTTTCTTTCTAGTTCTGTATAATATTTTAATATTAAACTTATTACATTTATCAATAAAATAAAAAGAGCACTTCAAATCGTAGCGAACTTATGTAATAATTTTGTAAAAGATAACCATATAAGATGACTTTTAGAAAAATATTTTAAATTTAAAAACTTAGTTTCCAAACTCTCTATCCAGCTTTGCGTTGGCAATGCCTTTATTCTAAAAGACGCCCTTTCCAAATTGATCGTACAATTTTTTGTAGTTATATAAAGTTATATTTCGTTACTTTTCCACCGATTCAAAGTGACTTTTACATTTTGTTATGTATAATCATTGGTGAACAAGAATATCGCTATTAACTTTAATGGTTCAATTAAATCTTTGCTATAAACACGAAAATAAAAAAATTATGTTTACAAATATGCCAATAAAAATTTACAATTATAGAAATTTAACAAGTTAATATTAAAATATAAAATAATAATTCTATTTCAATTATAATTGTCTTTTATATCTTTATTTTCGAAAGTTATTTTGCGGTATTTTCAATCGCTTACGTTGTTCAAATAAATAAATAAACAAAGGACTCCGCACAAAATCAAGAGTTTTTGATCTTCGATGAAATTGGTTGAAACTGTAGTATGTTATAGATCTTGGCTTACTGATCAAAAGTTTTCTGAGGTACAAACTTGAAAATGATTAGTTTTCTTTGCTACGAATTCGATTATATATATATATATATAT